ATCCATTCCATCGATAGGCCATGCTGATCCAACAGTTCTCCTATTACCCAGGGTAACTCTAGATTTAACTGTGGTACCAAAATATCCAATTGACGGTGGATGTCCCCAACATGATAGTCCATTTGTACCAGCGCCCCCTGTACCTCCAAAAATAGTGATTGAGGCGGTTGAGAAGGAGGCGAGTATCATTTTGCTGTGCTCAAGCAAACTGCATTACATCTCCAATATATATATTGTGGTGAGCCAGCACATGCAGTAGCTGGCGTATTGATGGCTGCACATAAGTGACTAGATACTCCTTGATTCTGTGGGTACCAAGGCGGTGAGACAACCCCATTGTAGTCATGTCCAGATAGGACATGTACATGGTGTAGAAATTCTCTTGGTCTTGTTGGTTATAAAACAAACTCAAGGCATACTCCCCGCCTTATCTTCATATAATTAATATTTGTGCAACAGCCACTCCATAATATCCTGCAGCTGCTGAGGGGTCACATTGATGGAGCGTCCTTGTTGGTCAGCTGTCAGATCAGGGCAGTTTTCTAATTGCAGATTGATCATAACTTCATCATTACCAAGTTTGGTTACAGTGAATAATATTAGTTTCTTATTAGGTGCCTCACCTGCTTCTTCTGCATAACGCATGCAGAATCTGATCAAATTATGTTGTAACGGAGAGCTCATCATCATATCTTAGCATCAAAGAACTACAGTTGATTAGTGGCCCCCTGTAGTGAGCACCACTGTTAATTCTTGGCGTAGAGTCTTGATTCCACTGAGTCAGTTTGCACCAGGTATAAGCCACTGAGCAACCAAATCAGATGATATGAAGATTGCCAATTCTAATAGATTCAATAAACTATATATGGAGCTATCGCCCCTTATTTTGACCTTTATTATTTTTACTAATTTGCAGACTTATCTGCAACAACCTAATCATATAAAAAAGACCTTTCCTTCAATCCTCCATGTGACTCATTATATCCTGGTCCCCAAGCTGGATGCATCCTCAGATTGGTAGTCTTCTATTCATCTTCACTTTTCTAGAAGCTCTCTTTTATATTGAATCTCAGCATAATTCCCCTCAATTTGCTGAATGGTTGACATTTCTTTCAATTATTATTTGTAGACCTTTTCTGTCAATCCTGAGACTCATCTTTATTCCTCCTCTGATCCGTTAGTATGGTTAGCATATCATCCAGTCATATCAACTTCCTGACAATCTGGTAAATTATAAACACTGTGGCAAAGCTTGGTTATCTGGATGCTAGTATTATATCAAAGCATGTGCAATATCTGCTATCATTGCCTCCAAGTTTGATCCCAGTAAATGAACTTTAGATAGGGGATGATGTAAGACTGTGTTGGCGTTGCACATCAATGCTCTAAACTGATATAGCAAGTAGCAAGGTAGCCATTGGAGTTCCTAGCTTATCATAATGCTACACATAGAGGTTTACCAGGATTTATCTTCCTTTCTCATTGATTTCAATCTCACCTTTCCCCATTAATCAGTGCAGTATCATTACCAAGTCATCCTATCTTGAATAAATAATTATTGCTATCATTTCATCTAAGCATTTTGGTAAATATTTGAATAAAAAGATTTAAATACAATTTAAACTTATTAATAGCTTAGATCAATATAAAAGTTCAACTAAATCATTTAGTATAAAATAAAATCAAATCATATTATTATATCAAAACATGATTGATATCGGTACTATTTCAGTAATCAGTTTGGTATTATTATATTGATATGATAAGTTCAACTATTTCCAAAACTTATTGATAGTCATCTTATGATATAAAAGTGAAATAAATAAATTAATTTCTGGTAACTTAGCCTTAAATTGTTATAGCCTCAAGCCTCTTTGGCTCAGATGGCAGAGCGTCCCCCTAGTAAGGGGAAGGTCAGTGGTTTGATTCTGCTAAGAGGCATTAAAATATTCTTGTAGGCGGCTATCCTCTCAAAATACATTTTTAAATTTTAAATTTATTGTGGGGAAGGCTGACCATGGGACGGACACTTCCGAATATGACTCAGACGAGACAAAACTTAGTACCAGGGGAGGCACCCCAGAGAAGCAATGCTATCTCTTGTTGCCAGCGGGAACGCCACTTATGGGAAGGGGAGGGAACGTGTGTAGGGGACGTAGCCACTATTGAGCACGTGTGGAGGAAGGGGTCTGATTTGATGAACCAGACTGGGAACCAGGAGGAGACCAGCTGTTGCCGACTCAGTGGGAGATATCCAAACATCCATGCTTGAAAGTGATTCACCAAATGAGACTAGAATCTGTGGACAGCTTCAGGGAGGGTGGGGATGGATCCAGCGATGGCATCCAAGACAATCGTGTGGATAGTCCACATGGCGATTGCAACCACCAGAGCATGGAGGGAGGGTGGGAGGGGGAGGCCATTGATGAAGCAAACATATCTCTTGACAGACTGAAGGGATGTGTTTGATCCTGGCCTAGCAGACGTTGGACTTCGCGCCATATTACTTTAGAGGTGGGGCACTTCTCCAGGTGGTGAAACAGCGTTCCATACTGGCCACACATGACACAGGATGAGTGTAAAGTATTAGAGCGCTCAGCTGTACGATACACCCACCTCAGGCAGTGCCACACATGGGAGTGGACTTGAGGCTGCAACAAAGGATGGTGTGCATATTTCCAGATAGTCTTTTGGGTCTCAGTGGAATAAGGATGTCCATCATGTCCAGGTAGTCCACCCTGGATAGGACTTGGGGTCAAATGGGGATCACGCCATCATGGATGGGTAGCCCCTGTACCTCTTGTGTGAACTGAGGAGAGGAGCGGCCTCTTCAGGTTGTATGTCCACTAATATGAATTCTCCACTCTGCGCTTCGCATGGAGAGTAGGATTCGTTTGCAGTGGGTTTTGGTCCTGTGAGGACCTGTGGCCGATGTGTTTGATGCGAGGTATTTCATCAGGGAGTGGGGGTTTGATGGATTGTTGAGGCCCAAGGCTCGGGAGAAGTTGGAGTGGGCCGCGCAGGACCAGTGTTGGGATGGGAGTGTAGGAGCAGTGATGGCCGCAATCCAGGTGCCCAGGATCTTGGCGGCATGGGCTTTGAAGTCAAGTAGGCCCATGCCACCATGATGATGAGGGCCAAACATGACCTCTAGCCGTACTGGTGGAGGGCGGCCTGACCAAAGCCAACCTTGTAGCAAAGCATACAGTGATTTGAAGAAGCTTGGGGAGAAGGGGATGGCGTGGGCTCCAAACCAGACTTTGGATAGGAGCATAGAGTTGGCAAGAACAACCCTGCCAGTGAGGGTAGTAGGGTGGGCTCTGAGAGAGGCGATTCGCTTCATCACGTTGTCCAGTATATGGCACTCCATTACTGCTGACGCGTATCCACCTGCCTCCAACCACACACCCCAGATGTTGTACCGGTCCTATGGTAGGTCATGGCACAAAGGGGAGCACCAGTGGAGCGGTGTGTTTTGAGTTAGTAAGGCGTGGACGTGGGCGAGCAGATGGGCCAGGTTGGGAACTACTTGCTGGGGCCCAGCAGTTCTGAAACTGACCAAGGAGGATGATTTCGGTTTTGGAGGCGTTCAGTGCCACGTTGCTTACCCAGGAATATTCCTGAATGAGGGCTTCAAGCGCGCGTGCATCTTTGTTATTAGACACCCCCACCACGCAATCATCTGCAAATGCCATCATCTTGACTGGGGTTTGGCCTGGCAAATGGACCCCAGTGAGTTGGGCATTCACATTTCGCAGTAGTGGGTTAAGGCTGAAGTTGTATAAGAGTGGGCTAAGGGGGTCCCCTTATCGCAGGCCCCTTTGAGGACGGACTACTTCCGTTAGGAAACCTGGGCCGCGCACTGCCATTGTTGCAGATTCCGTGAGCAGCATCACCCAGTTAATGAAGCGGGGAGGTAGGCGGAATTGTTGGAGGCAGGCCCTAAGGTATTCCCAGTTTACTCTATCATAGGCCTTTTGTTGGTCCAAGAATACAAGTGCCCCAGAGGCTGTGGAATGACACACATTAGCCACAGAGTGCACGTTATCCCAAATCGACCTTCTGGGGATGAAACTAAATTGTTCTGGGGAGATGGTGGCAGATGCTACAGTCCCTAAACGGTTAGCCATGATTTTGGTTAAAATTTTGGTGTCTGTGTTTGTTAGAAAAATGGGGCGCCAGTTGGCTAAGTCTAGCCTATCCCCTTTCTTGAAGAGTGTGACCGTAAAGGCCTCATGTCCTCCTGGTAGGAGGCGCATTTCCAACAGGCTTTGGTTGAGTGAGGCTAGCAACTATGGGGATATATATTTAAAATATTTTTTGTAGAACTCATATGGAATGCCATCTGGGCCTGGGCATCTTCGGTTTGGCGCACCATGAATGATAGTCCATAATTTGTTCAGAGCAATTAAATTCATTATTTCCAGGTATCAGAAAATGGTGTGGATATGAGCTCAGTCGAGAAATTCCACCATTTTGGCTGGCTGAATTGGTTCGGCTCAGTATAACTCAGAGTAATATCTTTACACTTTGATTGCCACTTTGGCCAGTGTATCCACAATAGAATTATCCGATCTTTGCACCTGTGTGCAGGCCACGCTCTGGCGTGGTGTAAAATTTTTTTTGAAGAAGTATGTGGTGCACTTGTTGCCTTTAGTGATGCGTGTGGCCCTGTATTGGACACAAACAAATGTTTGTGTTGCCTTTCAAGTGCGTTGAGGTGGGCGGCTGCCTCCGCCCACTTCTGGCCCCATGCAGGGCTATATCCTGAGGCTGGAATGTTGGACTTCAGAGTGGGCCAATTCCACCAGCGCGCACAATATAACTGCCGATGTGGCTTGTGAGCATCTGGATGAGAGATGGCGATAGTGGCGGATGGTGTCTTCTTTGAAAGTTGCCCATGTGGAAATGGGGTCTGCACAAAACGGTGCAACAAACAATTTTGCCAAAGTTGCCTCTTCCACCCACATGGAAAATCCTAGCGACGCGAGCTCTGGGGGGCGGATTTTGCACCAATGTGGGGCCTTTGCAACTGTGACGGGTAAGTGGTATGTTATTAGAACAGTCGGTGGTCAGAGAATTCCATTTTCGTTGTTTTGAAGTGGGAGATGTGGGGTTGGAATTTCGCTGGTGCTAGAATAAGGTTGATGCGGGTCATGGACCTTAATTGGCTGTTGTGGACGTGGGGACGCGTCATGTTTTTGAGCAGTGGGGCATGTCATGGCAGCGCATCCATTAACCCAAGGGTGGCTTTTAGAACGCATAGTTCTATGTGACCCTGTGGGGCGTGGGGTGAGGGTGGCCACTGGTCCGTTGGTGAGGTTAGCCAACAGTTCATGTCACCAATTAGGAAAGAATCAGGGGGTAGCGGGAGGGATTTGACCAACGAGAAAAATTCCCAACGCTCATGTGCACCGTTTGGGGCATAAATGTTGATGATTGTGTGCAACATCGGCCCATGAGAAGGTGACAACGAGCACTCAGCCATTTAGGAATGTTTCTGAAGATACAAATTTGAAAAAATTGTTTTTCCAAATTAGCACCCCACAGTGCTTCAATCAAAAGGATAGGGATGGTAGGAGCATTGTTTTCCAAGCTTCCTTGGAACCTCGTGGACAGTGGGACTCCTGGATGGCCAGGATATCCACAGGTAAATTGTTTTGTAAAAAACTCAGTTTCCTAGCCCGGGATGGGGAGGCCTTGAGTCCAGCGATATTCAGCGTCCCTAGAGTGAAGGTTTCCCCATCACACCTTAGGTGCGAGGGGTGGGCCCCGGGCCCACCAGCCTCTTCCAGGTCCCCACAGGCTTTCACAGCAGCGTGGGTATTAGTAGCAACGCTATCAGGGTTTTTATTAATTTTTGCAGAAAGAGTCACGTTGGCTTTGGCCTTCACTTTTTGTTTTCCCAACGTTGGACGAATTTTTTGCGGTGCAGATAAGTTTGGTGCACCCACTGAGTGGGGCAAAAAAATTTTTTTTTGGTTGAATATAGGTCCCAAGTCAGTTTTGACGGGGGCTTGGGTGCAGCAATTGGGTGAGATCAAATCTCCCATTGGATCCTTGGATTGAGTGACCCGTTCGGCATGGGCCTCCCAATCTGATTGGGTGATGGATTCCCGAGTTGCTTCCACCACAAAGGTCTCCATGTCCTCCTGGCGTTGTGAGTGTGGGATGGTGGTGGTGGCCTTGGCCACTTCCTTGGTCGCGGTCCTATGGGCCTGCTTGGCCTTCTTCTGCTCCTGCGGGGAGATGGGCTTTACCAATAGGTAGCAGCCTTGTGCTCCTCACGGGAAAGCCTCCTTGGTGCTTGCGGTTGGTTCATAGTGCACCTCTCCACTGGCCATGGCCACTGAGGGGTGCTCTTGGAATGTGATGCCCTCTTTGATGGGGCATGCATGCACCTTATGGCCAAATGCATCACAGTGGGTGTAAATGGGGGGCGCGCTGTCCACGGTTACCTGGAATGGGTGGGTGGTGTGCCCTGCGATGTCAATAAAGGTGGAGTGTTGGATCTGGGTTAGGTCCTTCACGATCTCCTCGGTTGGGGTCAGAACTGCAATGGCTTTGCCGGTGCACAGGTGTGGCGTCAGTGTGAAACGTTGCATTTCAAAAGATTGTATTTTGCCATATATGGCGAGACCATCTTTCAGGTGTTGCTCCAAAATGCCACATTTTACCATAGTAGGCAAAAAGTCAAATGTGAGGAAAATTTGGTTTGATTTTGTCCATCTGGTGCATTTAGTTTTGACGACCCATTACCCTTCAGGGAGGTTGACCACTATTCACCGCTGCAGCCTCATCTGCTGCTATTTTGCTTCAAAACCTAGGTCCAGCCAACCGCGTGACATGGAGTGAGGTGCAACGTACACTGCGGTCAGGAAAATTTTGTGTACATCTTCACAAAATTTTTCCCATAGGGCCATTTTTTGGATGTCCAGATA